AATTTCCAAAAAAAAAAAAATCTGTAGAGTAGATCAAAAATTATGGGTCCTAACTTCTGAAATACACCGTGCCTTGCTGTACCAAGGCTTTTCTGACTGTCTCACCAAATTTCTGATATAAATTAACAATCCTTTGAGAAAATGGAAAAAAAGAACAGCTTTTCTCTTGTAAAATGATATCATGGACTAGAAAAACTTACACATTAATGGGCCTAGAGTTAAAATTAGAGGAAATTTTTGTGAAAGACTCTTCCCAAAATATGAATAATATTTATTTTCAGAACCTGGTAGAAATTCCTTCAGAATTTAAAGAAACAATAGAATAGGTACAAATCTATCTATCTCTCTATCTCTCTATCTCTCTATCTATCTATCTATCTATCTATCTATCTATCTATCTATCTATCTAACTATGTATCTATTTATTTCCGCCAACCATAAATTCCACTGATAATGAGAGGCAAGTCTTCATTGCACTTATTCTTTTTATGATGACATCAACTATATATAATATATTTGTTTTTACAACTTAGAAATCTTTCCAACTTTCATAACCACCCTGTGAAGTAAGCAGGGTAGGTATTATGCCCACTTTCTCATTGAATGAAACTAAAGCTAAGTGGCTTTTCTAGTTCACACAGTAGTAAGCAGCAGAATCCCAATAAATTCCTCACAATCCCAATGCATCTATTTTAAACAATGTTACTAACTAGTTTCTAAAAATACAATGTGCTCTGAACTTAAAATGAAAGCAATTACATGGCTAAGAATGTGTACTTTTTTCATTAAATGGTGGTAATTTTCAGAAAAAAGAAACACGATATTTGGTGCCCTATCACCTCTCATTTTTCTTTTCCACTCTTAGCATTAGTGCCTTTAGAGTTGTTTATATCCCCCTCTGAAATCCTGCTTTGAAGAACTGTGTTACATATCACATCCAGTAAGGTATAAGTAATTAATAAAAGTTAAAATGTTCATTCCTCCCAAGACTAAATTTCACACTTCTGTCCAACTTTCACGCCCCCTCCCTTCTTCTCCCTCCCCTTTTCCCCTTTGCCCTATCTAGAGTTCATCTAATCCTCCCATCTCTCTCCCTTGCAGCATATTATAAATCAGCATCCTTAAATCAGTGAAAAGATTCAGCATTTGGTTTTCTGGAATTAGCTAACTTTAGTTAGCATTATCTTCTCCAATTCCATCCATTTACCTGCAAATGCATGATTTTATTCTCTTTTAATGCTGAGTAATATTCCATGGTGTATATACACTGCTTTATCTATTGAAGGGCATGTAGTTTGGTTCCACAGTTTAGCTATTGTGAACTGTACTGCTATAAACATTTATGTGGCTGTGTCCCTGTAAAGTATGCTGTTTTTAAGTCCTTTGGGTATAGACTGAGAAGTGGGATAGCTAGGTCAAATGGTGGTTTTATTCCCAATTTTCCAAGGATTCTCCATACTGCTTTCCATATGGGCTGCACCAATTTGCAGTCCAACCAGCAATGTATGAGTGTGCATTTTCCCCCACATCCTCGACAATTCTTATTATTATTTATATTCTTAA